CGGGTCTGCACGCCCGCCGCGGCCCGGCGCGAGAGCGCACGCAGAGGCCGGCTCGGCCCGAGGCCGGGAGCGCCGTCCGGTGCGCGTCGCTCCCCCTCCCCGCGCCCCTGCGCTGTGGCTCCCATTACCCGCCCGGGCGCTGGGCTGGGCTCCGTCGCGACACTCTGAGGGCCTTAGGTCCACACGTCACAGCCAGCCGTGGCGTTCATACCCGGAAGCGCAGAAAGGGACCGAGCGTGTTCTCTCTTCTCCAATCCCCTGTGGATCTATTGGGCGGGAGGCAGTGACCCGGGCCTGCCAAGAGCAGCGTGGACTCGGGGTCTCGGTGCACCGCGGGACCCGTTGGCACGGCGCCTGGGATCCAGTGCCTAGGAGAAAGTGCGCTGCCTTAGAGCTCCAGCCCTGGCAGGGCCTGGCTGGTGGAGCAGTGGGGAGCCGGATAGGAGTTAGGTCAAGGATGGGTCAGTGAGATTCCGGAGAAGGAGCACAGGAGTGCTGGAGCCAGGCCTTCCGGCCTCCGGTGGATGAAGACCAGCCACCCAGTGGGGACTTAGTTTAGTGGACAGTCCATGCCACTCAGGAGGAACCCATTAAATGGCAGAATAAAAGTTAAGGCCAGAGTGTGCAAGCCAGAAAGGCGTGACCATTTGATGTTGTAACATTGGCAAAAAGAAAAATCCCATGTTCACTGTATCTGATTTTGAAATATAATTCAGTAAATGCAATGTTTTTGCAGTAAATACACTTCGATGATAGTATCGCTTCCAGGAATCGCGATTCTTATGGATATTGAAAATTGTTACATGACAGACTGTCAAGAACATTTTTTGCCTGTCCATTTAACTTTCTCCCCTTTATAAAAAGATGTAGCACATATACAGTAAAGTGTAGGAGTTTAAGTGTGTAATCTACTGAACTTTTCATGTCATCCCCCAGGTCAAGATGTTGAACTTTTAAAGCAGCTCCTCATTGTCTACTCCTCAATATCCCAATAACCTCTTTGTTGACCTCTGTCACCAGAGTTTAGTTTTGCCTGTTTAGATAAGACTGAACCCCTTTGTGTCTAACTTCTTTCACTCAATGTTATGTCTTTGAGATTCATTTATGTTGTGTGTAGCTGTGGTTTGGTTTGTTGATTGCTTTGTTTTCTGTTGTTGTTGCTACTTCTATTCCATTATATGAATATTCATAACATTTATTCACACTACAGTGGATGGACATTTGGATTGTTGCCAGTTTGTAAGAACATTCTTTTATTAGGCTTCTAGTAGACATAGGCCCTCATTTCTCCAGGGTGTAGACCTGGAATGGAATGGTCGGACCTAGATATTTATAAGAGTAGATTTGGTAGACACAGCTAAATGATTTTCTAAAGTGGTTTTACACTCCCACCCACATTCTATGACAGTTCCTATTGCTCCACATCCTTGCTGAAGATGTTTGTATGGTATAACAGCAGAATTCAGGGTTTTGGCAGAACTACCTGAATACATGCTTTTTATTAGTAAAATCCTCTTCACTTCTGTCACATCTATAGAATTACAGTTTCCAGGGTAGGGACTCTAATCATTCCGTCAGAATCAAGTGCATCATTATTATTCAGATATACATAATAGCTGATGATAATTTTGAGTTTCTTATTTTGTTCTACTTAATCAATATTGACAGCTTCATTTTAAAAGTGTGTTTATATCCTTTTGTGTAAAACACAAAAACCCTCAAAAAAATTAAATATTGATTGCAGCCCTGAAAATTGTAGGTTTGATATTGCTACTGCTGGGATGTGAAAAGAATTTCAGTCCAGTTCCTGTTCAAAACTGAGATGTACTGTATGTAACCTTTTAATGCATTGGGAGAGGCTGAACAGCTGTTAAGGAACTGATAGAAATATGTCAGTCAGGCAGGTTCTGTAACAGTTAAAACTTGAACTTCCTTCTCCTGTAGTTCTTCCAGCTGGCCTTTAGTGCCACCTGCAGGCTCTGAGAGTACAAACAGGGTTTGACAGCTACAAATGCTGCTTGTGGTTCTGGAACTTGAGGGCATCATCAGTCACCAGGGGAGCTAGGCCCTTCTGCCCTGAGGTTCTAATTCAGTAGGTCCTTGGTTGGGGCCCAAGAATGTGTATTTCTTTTTAAAAATTAAGTGAATTTGTTCTATTACTTCATAAGAGCAAGTTCCCTTCACAGTATCTCATTGGTGCTGCGAATCCTGTCCTAAACTTCCAGCCAGCCAGTATCATGGGCATACGTCCAACATGCTCAGATAAACTTCAGATCGAGCTTGAGATCCCACGTAGCTTCTAGCATGGTAGAGGGGGCACTTTAGAATTGTAGCTGGGCCTTAAAATTTGTATTTCTAGCAAGTTCTCAGATGATACAGTTGCTGGTAAGTCCAAGGTCTGCTGAAACCCTCCCTGCGGCACACTACAGTGGT